AGTGAAAGTGTCAAGAAGAAGTAAATTCAAAAAAGATTAAAGATTTGAAAGGAGCACAACTCAGTAAATAAGCCACAGTTTCAGTAGTGAAATTTATTAAGGCCACAGTCTGAGAACTTTATTAAACACTTTCCCACACAGCGCTGTATTTTAGAATGCGAGAGGTGGGAAGATATCCATTTTCCAGGAAGTTGTGGAAAAAGTAGAGAGGAAAGAGGGCAGCCACCATTTTAAACATTACTAAAAGGTGAAACTACCCTGAAAAAGATAGGGAAATGGGATAGAGATTCTGTATAACAAAAAAATAGATTTTAAAATGTTTGCAAGTCGTCAACCAATATATACAGGCATTTAATACAATTTAAAGCTTTATTGAAGAATTTGACACAGTTCAACAGCAATGCAGAGTTTAAAAGGCTGGGGCACAAAGAAATGTTGTACAGTCATTCAGTTTAGAGCAGTATATAAGTGGGCTAGTACAAAGTGTCCCAATATCTAAAGTTGCTTTCTCTCGTATCTATATTTTTCCATTCTGAGTAAAGCTATGACTTACGTTCTTTACGGCTTTAATATCATCAATGTACAATAACACAAAGTTGTATAAATATATCATTTATTTCACTCTTGTACTCTGTGCATCTATTCTAAATGCTATTATCCTCTGTTTGTACATATTATCTCAAGTATACATTTGAAAACTAAGTCTCTCTCTATTCATTCTCATCCTTCCACTCCTGTCCATTCAGTGTATGCACCTTTTCTTTGTTTAGCTTCTAAAAGTCTAATACCACATATTTATTCACTTTCTCAAGGGCAATTAGAGATAGGCAATGAATGCTGGCCTTGCCAGTGATGCTCATGTCCCATGAACATTTTTCTAAAAATCCGCATGAGATTCAACCTGTTCCTGAATGCTAATTTCACTCAACTTCCTTCTCAAGACCATTTACAACTCTCCTCACTGTCTTTAAACCCTGCCTTTATGTCATCAGCATGTGTTTTGAGAGTGTACTCCTTCTGTCCAAATCCTAATCATTCGTCATAATTATGGCACATCAAAGTGACCCCCTTTGATCAGCACTGATCAGTGGGAGTGTACCACTTCTGAAACTTCTCCACTTCAAGTAACATCTCATTGTTGTCATCAGAAATAAAAATTGAATATTTCTTTTTGGCTTGCGAGTGGTACATTCCAATGTTTTGAATACCTCTTATTACAAGTGCGGGAGAATGTAAGTCAAGATTTTAATTCAAACCAACATATACCCAATCCATTAGCTACAGAGCTGACACTGTTTTGCAGCTTCACCTGAACATACAGGGAGAGAGACAACCTCATTTAAATAGCTTTTGAGAAACGTGTGTGAAATATTATGTTGCAATAAAAGCCACTTAATGGTTTTTAAATAGGTGATTTCTAGTGCAACGCATTTATATTGGTGAAGAATAGACAGAGAATGGATAGAGCCTGAAGCTATGCATCCAATAGATTGAATTGTCTGTCTTGGTAGAATGGGTCTAAATTAATCCTCAGAGCTTCCTGTGCCTGAAGGCAGCAAATCTCCCTTCCCCCTGCAACAGTTCCATACCTAATGCTGAGGCCTTTCCACAGTCACCGTGTATCCACTAGCAGCAGGTGCATGTAGTGCTCTGTGACCACTGGTTACAGGTTCCATCAGAAAGGACTGCAATCAACATCTTTCTACCAATGTCCAGGATCAAAGATGTTGCAGATTTAACACGACTATGGATAAAATAATCTTCAAATGACAAATACTGAGAAATAGTACAAATCTAGCACTGTTTGAAAGATAACTGATACTCCTTATAGAGATAGTAGGAACTGCAGAAGCTGGAGAATCTGAGATAACAAGGTGTAGAGCTGGATGAACACAGCAGGCCAAGCAGCATCAGAGGAGCAGGAAA